ATATATATATATATATATATATATATAGAGATATATATATATATATATATATATATATATATATATAAACGGTATATATTCACGAAACTCATTATAAAAAGAACACTTTCGAGCTTCGCAGCGACGCGCGACCTGCACAGAGGAGCGGAGCGTGTATTCGACACATGTTTCCCAAAGCACTCATTAACTCAGGCACACTTAATTGCTTAATATACATCCCCCTTTCTATCGCTATCTCTCTCTCTCTCCTCTCTTTCTTCTTTCCTTTTCTCTTTGCTTTCTGTCCGTCGTGCGCGCGTTCGCTCGTGGCAGAAGTATCTTAAGTTGTGTCGCTAAGCTTTCTTTTTCCTTCGGTTTTGAAAAATAAAAGCATACTGCGTGTAACGACAGGATCTACTTATTCGCTAAGGCGCGTCCGAGAAACGAAGAGAAAACTTAGTGAACACAATTCCGCAGTCGAGCCCATTGAATTAACGGCCGAGGGAGGCACTGCATTACACAGCCGTTAATTCAACACCATCTTTGTGACACGATTTTATTACAAAAATCTTACAGATTAGACGGATCTACAAAAAGAAGACGAGTAGCGTCATCCTTTCTTTTTTCACCTTGGCATAAAGAATAGCGCAAGCGAAACGGGAAGAGTTTATGGCTAAAACAAATAGGTCGAACATTGATGTAAAATTTGCGAAGCAGCTCGGCTCTACAATCGTGGCACACACGGTAAAATCAAAGCAAGATATATACCGCCGTGCGCAAGATACACACGACCGATAATCTCCGAGTTTAGTACATCATACGCTAAAGATATCGATGACGTATGTATGTGTATAAAAAAGTGCAAACCGCAAGTCCAGTCACGGTTTGGTCAGACAAAAAGAAACGCGTTCCCCGAAATACATAAATATAATGTAGTCGCTATTATAATCTCCGTTATGTTAGTGTCATCGTAATACAATAATTATAATAAAGTATAATAATAAAATATAATAATACACACATTTAATTTAATTGATATCTTAAAGATCCAAATGATCTGCAGGTCTATACGCATTTATAATGTATGATAATAAATGTCTGTTAGTTTCCTTTTTTCGTTCAAAAGGATCGCAAAAATGCGACTATTTTTTTTAGTAAAAAAAGCGATGCAAGATTCGAAGTTTTCTCGAACCGTTCCTTTGAATCCTTACATTGTTCTTTGACTATATTTCACGTGTTACACTTGTTTTGTATATTCAATGTTTCTTATCAATACTTTTCCGCTCGCTTAATTATTCTTTCATTTTATTTATTACCAAAATAAAGAGCCACTACGATAAAAAAAAAGCAAAGATGTAGAATGCATATAATTATAATATTAATAATAATAATAATAATAATAATAATAATAATGAGATAGTAATAATTACTACAATGATAAAGATAATTGTGTACGACGTAGATAGCTGGTATGATAATTATTTTTGTTTTAATGATTTAAACTCGAAGCACAATTCATTACTGTTAAAAAATACACAATCAAGGTAGTGATTACAATATACATTATATATGTATGCCTTTTCTTGCACCTTTTCTTTTATTTTTTTGTTGTCCGCTGGGGATGTGCGGTATTTACGACTAGCTTTTCTGCAGCTAGTTCCGCAATTCCATAATTTTGCCTGTGTACAGGCTCATTTGTCATAACATCTTAAAGAAGCCTACATCTGCCCCTCTTCTTCTTCTTTACCTAAGATTTTAAAAAATATTCGTGTTAATGCAATGTATTAATTATAACAATATTGCATTCAAAGAATATCGCTGAATATTTCTCGAAAATGTTTAAACGTCTCTTTACATTAATTTATGATTTAACAATCATCATTCTTTGAAAATTACTGAGATTAAAAAAGATAATTATAAAACATACTTGTAATGCAGCTCGAGTTGCTGTTTCAAAAACTTCCCTTACACCTTCCTTGCTCTTAGCAGAACACTCAAGGTAGGCGAAAGCATTGATTTTCTCAGCCATGGCTCTACCCTCTTCGGGCTTGACCGGCTCCTGTTTCATCTTGCTAAGTTCCTTGATGGTATTAGGATCATTACGCAAGTCTTTTTTGTTTCCCACAAGGATAATGGGTACATTCGGGCAGAAGTGCTTCACCTCTGGTGTCCACTTCTCAGGAATGTTCTCCAAGGAATCGGGACTATCGATGGAGAAGCACATTAATATGACATCTGTATCCGGATAAGACAGCGGACGCAACCTGTCATAATCTTCTTGTCCTGCTGTGTCCCAAAGAGCTAGTTCCACCTGTTTGAAGAAACGAGAAGTTTTTGTAGAAAGAGGAATTTCAAAAGATCTCTCAAAACAGAGAAACATATTTTAAGAAAAATTTTAAGATAAGACAAACCTGTTTGCCATCAACTTCAATATCAGCGACATAGTTTTCGAATACTGTGGGTACGTAGACCTCAGGAAACTGGTCTTTGCTGAACACTATGAGTAGACATGTTTTACCACAAGCACCGTCGCCTACAATAACCAACTTCTTCCTAATGGCTGCCATGAATCCTAAAATACAAAAAAAAAATGTGTTAATGACAAGCAAACAGGTAAATCGATGCGATAATATACAGAGTTTGACACTGTTTGCTTAAAATATTTATGTTTGAAATATTTATCTCGCATTAAAAATGTGAATAACGATTAATATAAAAAGCGAAATGTGTGGAATGTTTGTTACAAGTTAGTGATAAATTTTACGATTGCAATCAAATTAATGATAAAAATCATAATGCGCTCTTTTTTATCGTATTATCACATATAAAATGTACATATTTACATCCGTTTTTTTATATCTAAAAAAAGATTTTGACAAAACACAGATTCAACATTTAATCTTGAATAGCCAATTCATATCAATTGGCTTATCAATGTAATTTTATCTATATAAAACAGGGAGCAGATAACTGCGAGATTTCTTAGGAGGTACTTTGTAACTTTCGTAATTGTTATCCAAAAAGTGGACATTCTCTCATCAAAAATAACTTACCTATTCTCTACTAAAATTCACTTTTACAATTAATTTCGCAATCGTATCGCGTCACAATATTCAATGCGATAACGTCCGATTAGTTATGCCTTTATCGCCTTTCTCGCGACTCGTGAGTCACTTGCACAAAGTACACACTGATGGATTTTCAAGCTGTTTCCATTTTATGTATGAAGTAATCGTTCTTACCAACATTATCTGTACATACAAGTAGCCTTACGCTATCATAGGTGCAAAAAGAACGAACTTTACTCTGCAAATTCTAATCTTTCGAAAGAACGTATACTTTAACGTGTCAACACGTACAGTTTCGAATACCTTACAACATAGGAGATGACACCAAATTGAAATCTCGATCAACTAATTGTACGGGAAACACTACTGAATTGTTTTTGAACTAAAAGCATGCAGTGTGATAAATTTGCAGCATACGTGGATCAACATTGTGGAAACGTAATGAAATGTGTGCGGCCACGCGCAGGAGATAGCTAGAAAGAATAGGAGTTAGTGTTCGACATCAGTACTGAACTTGCTTCCCTCGCACAGCGCCATTATTTATTACAATTGAAGGCGGAACAGAGCAAGTGTTTCTTAGTCGAAAGCGTGTGTTACAAATACGAGAGAAGTGAAATACGGATGAAGCTAAGAAGCTTCTTCAGGACAGAGTTAAGAAGAAGAAAAAGAAGAAAAAGTAATTAGAATGGATCTTTGAGAGAGACTGTGTAATTCGCGTTATGTACATCTCTCCTTCTCGGAGCGTAATAAATAATACTCAAACCTCGTAGGCTTTGTTTTCGTTTTTCTTTTTGTTGTTTTTTTTTTCCGTTTCCGTCCTCGAATTTATCGCAGTCCCTTTAATTCAAACCCAATCTCAGCAATGTTCCCTCTGCGGGATAAAAGTACAATGTCTTTTCGCTCTTTTTTTGTAAATATATATAGTTTCAACACTACTAAAGCAAGTGACAAGAGAGATTCATTTTAAATTTGGCGATCTACTGAATCGCATTATGAAAAAGCGGGACCTACGAGGACTGAAATCTTAAAGGATTATTGACTGGGTCGTACCTGATCCAGGATACCTCGTATTGCGTGGACCGAGGCATCGGCCCACATTGCATCCCATGTTTTTAGTCTTTCTTTCAGCGTCTCTGTTTTAAGTGGACATTTTATATGTTAGATGTAGATAGAGGAAGCTGCGAGATGAATGCATATACCATACAACACATGTCAATAAATAAATAAATAAATAAATATATATATATATAATATATATATATTGTATATATACGAACATATATATAAATATATATACATTTTGCTCTGTATATAATGTAAATATAATTAAACTCTTCTTTTGAACAGATTACATAAAATTTGCATTATATTCCATTTCTTAATTTTTCCTTCTGATAAAAAAAAACTAAATATATGCATGTATATATATATATATTATTTTTTTTTTTCTATAGTATGTATATATATGCATGCTACGAGGTTTTCCAGCAGGACCGCCTCAAAGACTGAGTACAATCATTCTTATGCCATATATTCGACAATTTCTTATGCATACATTTTAGTTAAGATACATTCGAGTGTTATATTTGTTTTGTGATTCTCTTTACATAAGGTAGGGTCTTCAATATTTTATTCAGGAATAACGTGACATACATAAAAATGCAACACATATAGTTGTGCTTATATTGATTGGTACACGTTCAAGTGCCACATTTAACAAGAAATTCTCCTCAATCAAAGACTGTACCTTATGCACTAAAATGATTTGTCGAGATTGCATGCAAAAAAAAAAAAGAGAGAGAGAAACTAGAGATCGGTAGTTTATTTAATGTTAGGCATGCGATATCTAACATTGTACGTATCCATTAGAGAGGAACCATCTGACAAAGCGTTATAAATCATGTCCGGTGGTGCGCTGTACACTCACACTGTACAAACATAACAATGTGCTGTACAGAATCCCACAGGAATTCGAAGCAGCTTCTCTTAGCGTCGCTGCGAACGCTCGAACGACGATCCGAGATACGATCGGCCGCGGTGAAAAAGAAACGATCCGAAAAGACAATAGTAAATGATGAGCAACAAAGGAAAATAAAAGCTTCCGATAGCGAGAGTTCATCCCTTTAAGCTGTTACCCAACACGGTGACGCCTCATATTGCAATAGACCGTAATGATACTTAACCAAGTCACACAGAAGCGGAAACACATGGAGTATTGCCTATGAGATACAAGAGGGTTTGCCACAGAATCCCTTCCTGCTAACACAAAACTGTTTGGTATCCAGGCATCATCCCTCTTTCGGTTCTCGAACAGAGCCGGCCGAACGTTCACGCGGTGGGTAGCGTCCATGTCGATATCGCGAATTCTCGACACGCAGGAACGAGTCCTTTGTCTCTCAATTTACACATGTCGCTCACGACTGGAGAGAGAGAGAGAGAGAGAGAGAGAGAGAGAGAGAGAA